GAGATGTAGACATGGGGGAGATGGTGAGAGATGTGGACATGGGGAGATGGTGAGAGATGTAGACATGGGGAGATGGTGAGAGATGTAGACATGGGGAGATGGTGAGAGATGTAGACATGGGGGCGATGGTGAGAGATGTAGACATGGGGGGATGGTGAGAGATGCAGACATGGGGAGATGGTGAGAGATGTTGACATGGGGAGATGGTGAGAGATGTAGACATGGGGAGATGGTGAGAGATGTTGACATGGGGAGATGGTGAGAGATGTAGACATGGGGGGATGGTGAGAGATGTAGACATGGGGAGATGGTGAGAGATGTAGACATGGGGGGATGGTGAGAGATGTAGACATGGGGGGATGGTGAGAGATGTTGACATGGGGGAGATGGTGAGAGATGTTGACATGGGGAGATGGTGAGAGATGTAGACATGGGGAGATGGTGAGATATGTAGACATGGGGAGATGGTGAGAGATGTAGACATGGGGAGATGGTGAGAGATGTAGACATGGGGAGATGGTGAGAGATGTATGACATGGGGAGATGGTGAGAGATGTAGACATGGGGAGATGGTGAGAGATGTAGACATGGGGAGATGGTGAGAGATGTAGACATGGGGAGATGGTGAGAGATGTTGACATGGGGGAGATGGTGAGAGATGTAGACATGGGGAGATGGTGAGAGATGTAGACATGGGGAGATGGTGAGAGATGTTGACATGGGGAGATGGTGAGAGATGTAGACATGGGGAGATGGTGAGAGATGTAGACATGGGGGGATGGTGAGAGATGTAGACATGGGGAGATGGTGAGAGATGTAGACATGGGGAGATGGTGAGAGATGTAGACATGGGGGGATGGTGAGAGATGTAGACATGGGGAGATGGTGAGAGATGTAGACATGGGGAGATGGTGAGAGATGTTGACATGGGGAGATGGTGAGAGATGTAGACATGGGGAGATGGTGAGAGATGTTGACATGGGGAGATGGTGAGAGATGTAGACATGGGGGAGATGGTGAGAGATGTTGACATGGGGGAGATGGTGAGAGATGTAGACATGGGGAGATGGTGAGAGATGTAGACATGGGGAGATGGTGAGAGATGTAGACATGGGGGAGATGGTGAGAGATGTAGACATGGGGAGATGGTGAGAGATGTAGACATGGGGGAGATGGTGAGAGATGTAGACATGGGGGGATGGTGAGAGATGTAGACATGGGGAGATGGTGAGAGATGTAGACATGGGGAGATGGTGAGAGATGTAGACATGGGGAGATGGTGAGAGATGTAGACATGGGGGAGATGGTGAGAGATGTAGACACGGGGGAGATGGTGAGAGATGTAGACATGGGGGAGATGGTGAGAGATGTAGACATGGGGGGGATGGTGAGAGATGTTGACATGGGGAGATGGTGAGAGATGTAGACATGGGGAGATGGTGAGAGATGTAGACATGGGGGAGATGGTGAGAGATGTAGACATGGGGGAGATGGTGAGAGATGTAGACATGGGGGAGATGGTGAGAGATGCAGACATGGGGAGATGGTGAGAGATGTTGACATGGGGAGATGGTGAGAGATGTAGACATGGGGAGATGGTGAGAGATGTTGACATGGGGAGATGGTGAGAGATGTTGACATGGGGGGATGGTGAGAGATGTAGCCATGGGGAGATGGTGAGAGATGTAGACATGGGGAGATGGTGAGAGATGTAGACATGGGGGGATGGTGAGAGATGTTGACATGGGGGAGATGGTGAGAGATGTTGACATGGGGAGATGGTGAGAGATGTAGACATGGGGAGATGGTGAGAAAAGTAGCCATGGGGAGATGGTGAGAGATGTAGACATGGGGAGATGGTGAGAGATGTAGACATGGGGGAGATGGTGAGAGATGTTGACATGGGGGGATGGTGAGAGATGTAGACATGGGGAGATGGTGAGAGATGTAGACATGGGGGAGATGGTGAGAGATGTTGACATGGGGAGATGGTGAGAGATGTTGACATGGGGGAGATGGTGAGAGATGTTGACATGGGGAGATGGTGAGAGATGTTGACATGGGGAGATGGTGAGAGATGTTGACATGGGGAGATGGTGAGAGATGTAGACATGGGGGAGATGGTGAGAGATGTTGACATGGGGGGATGGTGAGAGATGTAGACATGGGGAGATGGTGAGAGATGTAGACATGGGGAGATGGTGAGAGATGTAGACATGGGGAGATAGTGAAAGATGTGGACATGGGGAGATTGTGAAAGATGTGGACGTGGGGAGAGAGTGACAGATGTTTATATGGGGAGATAGTTATAGATGTTGACATGGGGAGATAGTGGAATATTGGGAGATATGGGGGGGGGGAGGGCGAGACCTGGTGTATATTAAAAGATGCCGGCCAATCACAGACGGCTGCGATCGCGAAGCTGCCGTGAAAAAAAAACAGCGCGTGGCAAGATTCCATTTTGAAGACGAAGAAGAAGAAGAAAAGAAAGACGGGAAAACTTGCTTAAAACTTCATGACGGACGGACACGCATTCTTGATTCGGGACAAGCGGCGTCCTTCCTGCCAACTTCGTCTCCTTCGCCGGGAAACCCGGCGACGGGGGAGAGCAGTTCGAAAGAGCGCAGAGAACCGGGAGAGAGTTAAAGAGAGACGGGGGGGGGGCGGGTGGTGGCGGTGGATGGGTGGGTGGGGAAGCAGCTGCGGTGTGGTGCGTGAACGCACGCGGTGTGTTGGAAGACGGCAAGGGGTGGAGGGTGGGTTGGTGGGAGGTGGGAGGGAGGCAAGTTAGGTCCACACACACACACGGACGTTGGGTCCTGCCAATCCATGGCAGGCCAACCCCAACGCACCCGTCAGCAAGATTCTAATTATCTCCGCCTGTTGCCCGGCAACCGGTCAGTGGCTAATTATGGGACCCCAGCTTTCAGTGAGTGCCAACAAACAATGGGGGGGAGGGGGGGGATTTTGTGTGTGTGTGTGTGCTCGTGTTTAAACCACATTGGCCAAGCAAAGCCCCACCTACCCCCCCCTCTGCGTACTTCCTTTAATAACGCAGAGACACCACAATGGCCCACCAGCCATTTTAACCCGGAGGCGGTGGGGGGGGGGAGAGTGCAGGAGGGTGGTGGAGAGGGGGGGGCAGAGGGAAGATAGTTGGCAATTACTGACGAGGCTTACGCGTTGCGTGTGTGCTTATGCACGTGTGTGTGTACGCGCGTGCGTGTGTGTGTACGCGCGTGCGTGTGTGTGCGTGTGTGTACGCGCGTGTTCTCTCCATCTGTATCTATGTCCGTCTGTCGGCGTCGCAACTTATTTCTCGGCTCGCTTGCTCTCTCGCTCACAGGCAACATTGCACAAACGACTACGATTCGAACAGCACTAATGTGTGGAAGCGTTTAAGATTTCAGGACGGAGGAGGGCGGAGGGGGGGAGTTGCCGGCGGGCTCCGGAATGTTTTCCTTTGCGCTCGTCGACAAAGGTGACACCACGATCGCTCGTCTTGATTTATAGCCCCGGCTGACGAGGAGGAGGACGACGAGGAGGAGGAGGAGGGAGGGAGGGAGGGCGCGCATCGGTCCCCAACGATCCTCGCGTTTCGCAATAGATAAGTGACCTTTTTTTAACATGTTCGCGTTGGGGTGGTTACAAAGAGGGTGACGCAAATAAAACGTTGCGGGTCAGGCATTTCCCGTTTTACGAATGCCCAGCCCCCACCCCGACGACGACGACGGGCAAGAGGGGCTAGGTGACCGATTGGCCACGGGGCCGCTACGAACCCCAAAGATGCCCCCCCCACCCTCCCCCTGTGCAGCCTCATCAGACTGTTGGGGGCGAGCGAGTGGCAAGCACCTACGAAGGCCGGCACGCGGCACATGACGGGGGTGGCGGTGGGCCAGCACCCCGCCCGGCCGCGTTGGGTCTCCCCGGCGGCGATGTGTTTACACTTCGCACCAGGCCCTCGTTTGAGGCACGCACAGCAAGCGCTCCGTAACTGCCGCTGGTCCATGTGCATCCCCAAGGCCGCGAAATTTACCCGCAAATTTACTCGAGTGTGACCACCCGCAGCGACATCGCCCGCCCCCTCCCCCCCCCCCCCTCCACCGACTGCGGAAACTTGGCAGGACCCTCCTGAAAAAGGGTCCTGAGACTCGGAGAGAATGCACCAATTCTGTCCATTGCACGAGGATGCCGGTTGTTGTTGTAATGGCCAGCGAGACGTCGTCAACTCAATCGTAAACGACGCGGGTTTGCTCTCCAACACAACGGGCAGTGCTGAAGCAGTCAGTAATTGACACCTTTTGCCCACCGCGTGACGAACATGTGCCGATTGGCTGTGTCGGGTGGAGGAGGGTGTACGACACAGTTTACATTGACACGACCTAACCCACGAAAAACTTGAATTGTTTTGTTTTTAGTTTCAAGCCAGCGAGAGCTGCCACCTCTGATGAGCACGGTTGGCTACGTACGGTGCGAAAGACGTTCAACAAACATACATACATATTATGAATACATACATACATAGACTCACACAGAGACTCACACAGAGACTCACACAGAGACCCATAGACTCACACAGAGACCCACAGACTCACAAAGAGACCCACAGACTCACACAGATACCCAAAGACTCACACAGAGGCCCACAGACTCACACAGATACCCAAAGACTCACACAGAGACCCACAGACTCACACAGATACCCAAAGACTCACACAGAGACCCACAGACTCACACAGATACCCAAAGACTCACACAGAGACCCACAGACTCACACAGATACCCAAAGACTCACACAGAGACCCACAGACTCACACAGATACCCAAAGACTCACACAGAGAACCATAGACTCACACACAGACCTATAGACTCACACAGATACCCAAAGACTCACACAGAGAACAATAAACTCGCACAGAGACCCCTCGTTTGTTGTCCTTCCCCCGGTCCTCCGATAAGCACGGTTGGCTACGTACGGTGCTAAAGAAGTTCAACGTACGTAGGAGAGCCGACTGAAAGCGTTCTTTCTCTCTTTGGCACGGGCGACCCGGGAGGAAAGCTGAAATAAGAAAAACGGAGACTGGAACGTGTGCAACAAAAAAAAAACAGTCGTGGCGCGCGCAAACAAAGCTCCGAGCGCGGGGGACTGTAAATTATTTCAGCAGCGGGATATCGACCGTCGCGATCCGTCGGCCAAAAGGTAGAGTGACCGCGTGTGGGTTTTAGTTGAGGTTTTTATTTTAGTTTTGTTGTTGTTGTTGCTGCAATGAACGTGCGTTCATGGCGACCGTTCGCCTATAACACGTCCCATCGCAAAAAAGATCGTCAAGTCCACTGCTGGATGAGCGGTGCGCTGCGACCGCTCTCAAATTGTGGGCTGGGCGGAGGGGCGAGGGGCCGGGAACCGAACTCGGGTCGCCGGGTTCACAGCCCAATGGCGGTAGACGCGGCAAATGCTGGGTGTGAGAACAGCCAGCTGTGCTTATATCCCAAGTGTGCTTATATCCGAAGTGTGCTTATATCATATATTTGGGGGGGGGGGGGTTCAGATATCACTCGCCACCGATGTTAGCCGTGGGTTCGGAGCGTTGTGGTGCACCAACCGCTGCCCAATTGTTGGCCCACCGCACAACGCGGGTTTGTGTGGTGGTGGTGGTGGTGGTGGTAGGCGTGGCAGCGTAGGAGCACAGGACGACGCGAGAAGTTGACGTGCTGCCCTCTGCTCCCTACAACGGCGTAGCGCCACCGCCCCTCCCCCCGCAGCAGCCTAGAGCAACCCCTGTTGTGTGTCGTGGTCTTCTGAAGAGAGTCAACGCTTAGAAATATTGAAGGTCTTAAAACAAGACCAACACCAACACCCCCCCGCCGTATAGCCGTATAGCCTTGACAGACTTTTGGGGCAAGTGCTGTTCAGCGAGCACCTCACGATTAGCAATTAGCAAGGTTGGCTTAAGTATGTTGTGAAAGAAGTTCAACCGACATAACGTGCATGCATGAAGAGTGACACAGCACTCGAGGGGGTCGGTGGCCAGCACGGCGCCCGGCCGCCTTTGTCTCCCCGGTGGCGATGTTTACATCCCGGACCAGGTACTCATTTGAGGCCGAATCAACGTAAGGGAGTGCCAGTACCAGTTTAGATCATAGCCACTGGTGTCGGCCGTGACCGGGAATCGAACTTGGGCCATAGGTGGGTTCGTAGCACAAGCGCGCTAACCGCTGCACTCCCGCTCCTCCACACCATAACTCCCAGCCCCACACATGCACGCGCGCACACACACACATTAGCAATTAACTTTGCATTCAACTCACTACACAATGGCGTGTGCGTTACAAGAGTTAAACACCAAAGTCCCGTAAACTTCCAACATATAAAATTACGCCCCGAGTTAACTTTGGAGAATTTTCCGAAAGAGTCTTGAATTACTGCAGTCGTGCATTGGGTTTATTAAACGCACCTCCCAGGAGACCCCATCTACGGAATATTCCTTTGTGTTCTCACGCTTTGCATCACAGCACGGCATTTTTAGAAGGAATTTCTAAAAAAAAAAAATGTAACCGGTTATTTTTTTAAGCACACACACACACAAACGTTTGTGGTGCGAAACAATTGTTCCGCGAACATTAATTATCGACGTTATGAATATTTTGGGTGGTTTTCAGTTATATTTTTCTTTAATTCCGAACTAAAGACACGGGAGTGTGGGGGGGGGGGGGGTTAGAGGGTTGCATACCCACGCCCACATTCCTGAGGCCCCCTTCGTGAAATGGCCACCTATTAACGGGAGCTCCCAGCGCTCGAGCTCAACCCCCCCCCCCCACTCCGTCACCGCCGCACTTTCTCAAGCTGCACCCAAGAAGTGCGGACTAGAAAGGGCCACGGCCAGGCACCATCTCATTGGCTCGTGGGTCCTGCGCACATCGGCATCGTCATCGTCTTCGCCGCTCCGGGGATTGTTGTTACGATGTTTTAATTCCGTCAACTGATCACTCGATGAACGACACTAACGAGGTGAGGGCCCTGCAATTGCTGCGGGTGGAAGGCATCTCCTCCACTCCGAGAAGGGGGGGGGGGGCTTTAGACATCATCTCTTAACAAGGCTATTTTGGCCTACTCTTCCACGGCGGGCCACACACGTTTCGGAAGAGGGTGGGGGGAGCTGCGCCCGCACTTTACCCCACCACACGTGAACCTGCTGATCAACTTCACCGTGGCGTGCCCATTTTTACACTGCCGCGTGTGGGGCTGTGTGGGGCCATGTGGGGCCATGTGGGGCCATGTGGGGCGATTTGAGAAACTTGCATCGGCGGCTAAATTCAACTGCCGCGGCCGCCGCGGCCGCCGCGGCCGCCGCCGCCGCCGCCGCCGAGAGATCGAACCGCACCGGCGAGCTCTGGGTTGTGCGTGCGGCGCGCGAGCCATTGCCACAACAACTGTGGCGGCGGCGGCGGCGGCGAAGATTTATAACACGGGCGAAAAGCGACCCCGAGACAGAGGTGACCATTGCGCACCTCTGCCGAGCGTTATAAATGGTATTTGTTACCAGCCCTGCGCTCGGTTTTGCTTCTTATGGGTGTCCCATCTATTTACAGAAGACCCCAAGAACTACGACAAAATCACCCAACCTGCCACCCCCCCATCAATGACGAACGCAGTCTAATCTAGCCGGACCTCGCAAGCGAAGCCGTCTCGGGCCTGGTAAGCACGCGTGGATGGGGGGTTGGGGCGACCCGCCGATGCTTGGCCGGGGGATGTTGTAAGATCGAGGCGACAAGGGCGGTGAGGTTGCCAGGAGATGGCAGCACAAAAAACGAAAACAATTTTTTTTTATTTAGGACCAGCTAAGGCCCACCGGAGCTATATGGCTCTTTTGCAGAAGCGACACGGCCACAAATGACAGCATCGGAATATTTATTTATACTGGAGGAATCCGATGAGCTATAAAGCTCTTTTCCACTGATGTCCGGTAGAATGAGATGACGGAGTGCGCAAGAGACGAGGATCGGGTACACGGGGGGGGGGGGGGGGGGTCACGGATGGGCTATAGGGGAGGGACTGGACAGAGTGGAGGGGCGAGGGGAGGGAAAAGGAAGGGGGGGTGGAGGTGAGGCTTTGAGAGGCGAACGGAAGGAGGTTAAGGAAGGGGACGGCGAGTTTGGGAGGCCTTCGTCCAGCAGTGGATTGACCACAGCTGATGGCTGATGACGATGGTGGTGGTGGTGGTGATGGCGACGGCGGTGACGGCGATAATGATGTGACACACGCGCCGAATTGAACGTGACGTGACGGAGCGCCTTGCAAAAACCACAAAAGTGGCTTACCATGCCGAACGAGGCTTATATCAGCCAAACACTCTAAACGCGTGATGTTGATTCTAGGGAAAAACTGCAGGGACTCGAAGAAAAATCCATGCGACTACGGGGAGACACCGCAAACTCCAAATATACAGCAGGTGTCAGGGTCAGGATTGAACCCGCGACCTCCTGTATACCAGGCGAGGTAGTTAACATCTCATAGCCACCGTGGCGCCCAACGATGGGACCACCCCGCTGGGCTGAGTCCGTCCGCGGATGCAATCTATCGGCGCGGAAGCATTCTCGAAGGCTTACCTCCTCGCAAGCTTGGTGGGAGGTTTCTCCGGCTCCTCCGCTCTCCTCCCCGTCCTCATGAAGCCAAACGCTCATTCACGGAACCACGCCAAGCATCCCGAGGCGGCAGGGCCCTCCGGAAAAGGAGTCTTGAGACTCGGAGAGGCTCTCCTGTTCCGAACGAAGGACACATTCGTAGCGATGAGACACGAGTCGTGTCCATCCACAACAACAACAAACGAAGACAAAATGTGCTCAACGAGACTTTAAAAGTTCGACACAATACGGCAAGGTCTCAAGAGTACGTGGCGGGGCGGGTCAGGTTCCGTGTATTCCCCCCCCCCCCCCTGGTAAGCACAAATTCACGTAAGCTGGGGTTCGCCTATACAAGTGTAGATATATTATTATACTATACACGTCTATATTACTATTATTATACTATACACTTCTATATTACTATATACTACTACATTACTATATATTACTATACAAGTGTAGATATATACATGATTATACTATACACTTCTATATTACTATATACGACTACATTACTATATATTACTATACAAGTGTAGATATATACATGATTATACTATACACTTCTATATTACTATATACTACTACATTACTATACAGTAAAACCTTGGATTGCGAGCATAATTCCTTCCGGAAACGTGTTTGTAATCCAAAGCACTCGTATATCAAAGCACTCGTATATCAGTTGTGATCACGTGACACTCGGCAGATAAAGCATGTACGTACTACTCGTATTGCAAGACCCTTGCTCGTTTATCAAATTAATATTTACTTAAAATTTTTGCTCGTCTTGCAAAACACTCGCAAACCAAGTTACTCGCAATCCAAGGTTTTACTATATACTACTACATTGCTATATATTACTATACGAGTGTCGATATGCAATGTAAGACTGTAAAAAAAAATGTATATACATAAATCTTTAGTAAAGTACAGTACTGTAAAGTAAACGATTCACCAATCATGGGTAGCATCCAGGTCTGATAGAACACGATATTATTAACACTATATGATTATTAACACTATATGATTATTAACACTATAGATTTGTTGGGACTCGTTTCTTGCGCTGGCGATGCGGTCCCACGCCGTTGAATCCACGTTCACGTGATCGCGGAGGGTGTGTGATTTCACTGTTTGCGTGAAGCGAAAGTACGAGTCGCAAGCGTGAGTATAATTCGGGGAGAGGGGGGGAGTCGATCACGTACGAGCGGGGTCCGCGTACTCTGATCCCGCGCACTCCAAAAACCTTGCCGTATATGTAATCGGCGACGTTTCAGGAGGGCAATGCCCCCCCCCCCCCCAACTTCAGAGCACGCGAAGGAGCGTTGCCCGAAAACGATGGCCACGTTACACATTATTTTTCATTATTGCCGAACGCGTTGAGTCGAGTCTTCGTTTGTCGCGTGCACTTCTGCACCGCCGTCAAAGCGGCAACCGCAGCAACACCGCTTTGGCTGCGGGCGCGACCACCGTCCGCGGCACAACGCGGCTGCGTAACTGTTAAACTATATTTTTTATTTTACCAGGTAAGGCCCAATGAGCTATATATATATGAAACGATCAGAAAACCAACCAACACTCTGATTTGAGATTTACATTTTTGGTTAATTTTTATTTGACCAGGTCAGGCCCACTACAGAGCTATTTGGCTCTTTTTCAGAAGCAACCTTTGCTACTACAATTGATAGCAGCAGCCAAATGCTCTGATTCTAAATGTGGAGGTAAAAAACCGGAAGACCCGGAAAAAAAAAATCCACGTGACCACGGGGAGAAGAGGACGCGCAAAACTCCAAATACACAGCAGACGTCAGGGTCGGGATCGAATCCACGACCTCCTGCATACCGGGCGAGGTAGTCAACATCTCACAGCCACCGTGGCGCCCCCTAGTTATCGACGTGACTGGACGGACACGCGAGCGCGAGCGCGCGCGCTCCGATGCCACGTAGCCGTGCACGCTCCAGTAACGGCTCTCGCCCATGCAGCGACGACACACACGCACTGCCACGCACTGCCACGCACTGCCACGCAAACAACGAGCCCGCGACGCCACTTCGGAAACGCTGCAACTCGCTGATGTGGGCCAAAAGGGAGCGGCGGCGGCGGCGGCGGCGGCGGCGGCGGCCGGAGCAACGTGCCGCGGACACGACAGCCCGTGCACGGTTCCCCGCTCAACACGGCCGACACCGGCGGCGATTGTCTGAACCGAGCGCGGCGCTCCCCTCCGTCGACTCGAGCACTCGGCGCGGATTTGTTAAAACGTGGACGGCCAGGGAGACGAAGGCGGCCGGGTGCAGCGTTGGCCACGCCGCCCCCTCGTGCGACGCGCCGCTCTTTAAACCGGCGCTCGCGAGCAGCGCTTGCCCCCCCAACAGCCTGCACAGCGATAGCTAGGGGGATGCCTTTGTCGTGCTAAACTCGCGTGCTTTTTACCAAGTCGGTCGCGCGCAACCTAATTGCAATGAGAAATATGAATATCATGAATATTAATTAGAAGTGCAGGTGCGTTACCGTCCGAGAGGATGGAGGAGGCAGTGGCGCAGCCGGGTTAAGCCAACCACGTTCTACATCCGGCGACCGCCTCCAACCCCTCCCCTCCCCCCGTGCGACTGCCGGCCACGGCTCACATCAGTGGCGAGCGATAGGCGAACCGGTCCTCGACCATTAACCCCGTCACCGAACCCGCACGCTGACCAACGTGGTGAAGCACGGTCAAACCACACGGCGTGGGGAGGCCGTCATCCAGCAGCAGACTGACAAAGCGTTGTTCACGGTGATTATTATTATTATTGTTGTGTTATAATCCACTACCAGTCATGGAGTTAGTTTTTTTTTACATATGTATACAGTTCCTGAGCACAGTTTGCCCAAAACGGCAGGCGGCCGGCAACAAACGGCACCGCCAGAGTCGTAAGGGACGGAGAGCTGCTCATAGTTTTAGTGACTTGAGCGAGGTAATTGTTACTGACAACTCTGGCTGTCGCCTGATGAGGCTGGTTGTAATTAGCTGACGAAACGTCGTACTACAATCGTAAATGTTGTGGGTTTACACTCCAAGACCCACCTGGTGTGCTGTACCAGTAACTAATTGGCACATTTTGTTTAGGTGACAAACCTCCATCACGGATAATCATCCTAAGAACGTGGGGAAACGAGAGATGGCGGGGAGAGGGAATTCCAGAGCGGAGTGTGGCGAGGGAAGAACCAGGAAGCGAGGTGACGTGGCGTGGTGTCGATGGTTAGTCTGCGATGTCTCGCTCGTACATTCAATCTTATTTGATCGACGCATATTCTTGGTTCTTTCGGTAAAGTCACGTAGAAGGGAAACAATAAAATAATAAAAATATAAAACAATAAAATTCGCACGACGTTTCGACTGCAACACAAGCAATCATCATCATCAGGTGTGAAAACCACAGCAAGAAAATTTGAAAAAAGTGGCGGTTTTTTTTAACGTTAGCACCACGTGGAGCGATTTAGCAGTTTGTTCAGATGGACGAGTCCATCAATGTTCGGAAAAGAGGAGGGGGGGAGACGAAAGCGGTCTGATCTACACCTTTCAAACCATCCATCACATTTGCACATCGTTTGCCTGTGCGCTTTGCAAATTCTCTGCACAGAGTGTAAATAATTGAATGTCGCACGCGTGACGTGAAACCGAGGTGGACGCGTCGCTCTGGGGTCAGAGACGCCGAGCCGGACCGACGAGGTCATGGGTCAGGATCCGGGGTTTGGTTCCGGCATTTGGATCCGGAGTTCGGATCCAGTTTTCGAAACCGTGGTTCGAATCCGGGGTTAAGATCCAGGGTTCGGATCCGGAGTTCGGCTGCCCAACCGAAGCGGTTAAACCAGGTCGTCCGGTAGCAGCAAGATAATGGTCTAAGCTGGGTCACCCATGACTTGCACCCCATCGTGTTACGATCAGAGTTGTGCACCCGATTCGGCTAAGTTCAAGCACTTATATGGGTTGGAGAGCGTCATCTGACTGACTATCTCGTGTGCAGAGCGGGTGGGGGAATGTGCTGCCTGCCCTTCTACTCTGCGGCCCAGAGGTGACGCGAAGGAATCTCGGGAGGTAGGCTCTGTGGGACGTCCGCTGCAGTGGGCCGTTGTCCGAGGCGAAGAGTTCGCTCTGCGAGATTTCCGGGACGGATTCTCCATCTCGCGACGACGCAACGCCGAGAGCGCGAACGGGAAAAAAAATTGGGAACCAGGGATAAAGAATATTATAATAAAACGACAATAATAAGTAGAGTCAAAAAAAACGTCAGATATTAGAAAGATGACACCTGCCAACAATTCCCGTTCCGAGAATGTAATTATTGATTCGACAATCATCGAACGCATATCAGAGTGTGGAAAAGTGCGCCCCGCGCACCCCCCACTATTGCGTCAACGATTTTTTTTTAAAGCTACTTGAATGATATTCTTGGTGGGAGAAGTCCCTGCAAGAAATTCCTTCCCTACCAGTTGTTTCGCCCCCCCCCCACCCCCACCGCTATGTCAGATTTCCGAAGGGATTCTTCCTCTCATGCCATTCCGCCAGTGGCGCGGTTGCAATAATGCGAGAAAGACAAAGATGGGTTCTGGGGGTGTGTCGGCGGCGGCGGGGGGAGGGGGGGTGAAAATCCCACCAGATTTTGTCGTTAATCGTTACATGAATCATTACGTGTACGCAACGATTTTTCTGTGTTTACCGGTTGTTAACGCTTTCCAACCGAGGTCGAAAGCGTTTAAGCATTAACGCTGGTCCATTTAGCGAGATGGGGAGAGGGGGTGCGCGGGGAGCACTCTATTTGAGGGCCAATATACACGAAATATTTCACGATTGTGTTGTTGCAATTAGGGACTCGCCCGACGTAACTTGGGGAGGAAGATGTGAAAATACACGACGACAAAAAACATGTGCCCGAATAGCGCCCAACCGTGCTTTTGCCGTGACGGCAACCATTCGGCTTCAATTATTTTTAGTTAAATTCCTCCAAAGACGGAAACGCGCAGTTGGCGCGAGGGGGTCGGATAATCCACGGGCCACGCGGGCGAGGGCTCCGTAACCCCCCGTTTTGTTTTTTTTCACTTGGGATGCTTTTTGTTGTTGCCGTTGTTTAAGGAGGCGACTTTGCAATTTTAATTT